TGGCAGCACACTCCTATAGTCCCAGCTACTCAGGAGGCTAAGATGGGAATTTGAGACTGTAGTGAGCTGAGATTGTGCCACTGCACTTCAGCCTGGGCGACAGAGTGAGACCCTATGTCAAAAAAATAAAACAAAACAAAAATTGTGGTTTTTAACAATTATCTACCCAGTCTGACCATATCTCCTATATTTCTATAATGGGGTGTGTGTGCATGTAGAGTGATGGGGAGTTTTGATTTCTTCACAAATCCGTCCCAGCACTATTAGGATGATGTATTTGCCTGAGAGGACTCCATTCATTACCACCTCTGTCTCCATTGCTCTCAGCTTCTCTCTTGGTTCTCTTTGGTGACCAGGACTGAGAGCTTGAGTTTTTTCGGAATTCCTAATACACTGAAGCTGTGTGCAATGCACTAACCATTTGTTATCTCCTTTAGACCACCAGCACCCCTATAAGGATGGCACAGGCCATCCAGTGCTACAGATAAGGAGATAACTCTGGGAGCTTAAGTAACTTGCCAGAGATCATGACTGGAGTCAGACCATGACTTGGCCACATTGATGGGCAGCCATGGGTCAGATTCATTTCCATCTGTAAGATCAAAGCTTGAGCTTGTGTTGCTTTGTTTGGAGACAGAGTTTTGCTCTTGATGCCCAGGCTGGAGTGGAATGGCGCAATCTCAGCTCACTGCAACTTCCGCCTCCTGGGTTCAAGCAATTCTTCTGCCTCAGCCTCCTGCGTAGCTGGGACTACAGGTGTGCACCACCATGGCTAATTTTTGTATTTTTAGTAGAGATAGGGTTTCACCATGTTGGCCAGGCTGGTCTTGAGCTCCTGACCTTAGGTGATCCACCCGCCTCAGCCTCCCAAAGTGCTGGGATTACAAGTGTGAGCCATTGTGCCCGGCCTGGTCCTGAACTTCTGACCTCAGGCAATCCACCCGCCTCAGCCTCCTGAAGTACTGGGATTACAGGCCTGAGCCACCGCGCCTGGCCATGAGCTTGTTTTTTTTTTTTTCCCCCCAGGAGATGTTATTAGTTTAACTCTTATTTTTTTTTCCAACTGCTGAAGTTTCTCCAAATTCTGCAAATATGGCTTAAAATTCAAATTGTCCCAATCCATCTTATGTATTCCTTTTTTTTTTTTGAGACCGAGTCTCACTCTGTCACCCAGGGTAGAGTACAGTGGGATGATCTCAGTTCACTGCAACCTCCGCCTCCCGGGTTCAAATGATTCTCCTGCCTCAGCTTCCTGAGTAGCTGGGATTACAGGTGCGCACTGCCATGCCCAGCTACTTTTTGTATTTTTAGTAGAGACAGGGCTTCAGCATGTTGGCCAGGCTGGTCTCGAACTCCTGACCTCAAATGACCTGCTGGCCTCGGTCCCCCAAAGTGCTGGGATCACAGGCATGAGCCACCACACCTGGCCCATCTTATATATTCTGTCCTATTGACAGATCTGGTATTACATGAAGTCCCGAGTGTTGACTTCAGAAAACGCCAAGTTACACACCATACCCAGAGGCTGGGATTGAAGTGAGACCGCAGAGAAAGCCAGCAATGGGGCTACTGACTGGCGGGGGGACTCTGCTTGACATCATTTAGCCTCTTTAGACCTCAGTTTCTCT